GTGTTTCCATCAAGGTCAATTGAATAACAACAGTTCATTTTTAATTTTAAAAAGAAATGAACTGTTCTTTGAAAATAAAAAAAGTAGTTCCTTTTCAACTGACCATATCGAGATATCGCAGTAGATTATGAAATATATCACACAAGCGATATCTACTGTAGAATGTATTACTGGGTGATAAACCAATTTCTCCTCGGTGGACATTTAGTCGACCCAAGACGCGTATAACTAGCTTCAGCTTGATATCTGTTTTTCTTATTTTATTATTAATTTCAGATTCTGGTGAAATAAAGACAGCTATAGATTTAAACACCGCGACAGTAGAGGAAATTCCGCTGTATATTAACGTGAGCGATGGACATAATAGTATAGGACCCCTTAAAGTTACCATTAAACTAACAGGTGGGTAATATACTTTTAGAACACTCAAATTCACCATTAGCATGTTCTTATTTCTCTCGGTTTGGACATAATTTACGCCGAAGAGGGACGAAACTTAAGTATATGACCTGACATTATGATTTGTAATGAGTGATTATCCTACTAATTTTGTTTTTATCAAGTTTTGGAGATACGAAAATGAACTTATCAATATAATGGTCTACTTGCTAGTAAAGCGTTTTCTGAAAGCCAGCCGTGAAAGGCCAATTTTGGGTGAACCTTGCGGGACTTATTATTTTGCATATTTTGATACACGGTCAAGGGTGCCGGGATGGCATCACGCAATATTCAACCTGTTCTAAAGCAATTGATTTTAAGAAAAATATGATCAGAAAAAAATTTCATGTTGTAGTTTGGTTTATAATGGAAAGCTTTTTGTTTATGTAGATTTGAATGAGAGACCGGTATTTAGTAACCTACCAGCTAATATAACTATTAAAGAAGATGCTACAGCTGAACAAGTTATTACAATTTTAACATTCAATGATGATTCTGTTCCATTTGATGCCGAGCCACAATGTTCAGTTTGGCCCAATTCAGAAAAATATAAATTTACTTACGACACGAGATGTAAGTATTACATATTTATTGTTGGTGATAAAACTTTTGTCATAGAACCTGAACACTGCCACGGTATCATTTAATTGTATTAAATAGGGTACTATGGACCTGCAACCGAGTATATGACGCCATATACTCATAGCAAGTTCCATGCCGATCAATTTGAATTGGCGGAGCTTTCAGCTTTATCCAATGAGCACCCCCCCCCCTCCAGAAGACCAGTCCCTGGCCTAAAAGGGTGACATGTCTTTAAAAATCATCTAAAGAATAGAACACATATAGAGTAGTAAATATCTATATAAGGACATAGATATGATATTTCAAAATGGTTAGTCATTTATCTTGTAGTTTTGTTATAGTTCAGTAAAAGAAAACACGAAGGGAAGGGCGCTGTGAAGATCTTCTACAATCGATTTGGTATGATTTAAATATACAGGTGGAAAAGACCGTGCTGAAATTAGATTTTATTCAAATGCAGACGTTTTATTATTAATTTGAGTTGTTTAGTTCAATAAACATGCTTGGTGCTTTAGGTTTTGATTAAGGGGGTCTACGATGATGTTATCATTCTGAATTAATCACACGTTTTTTATGGGTAAAGGTCATGATGTCTGTTTAAAGGGCCAATCTCGATTATATTTTGGAGAATAAAACTGCTTAATTTTGTGTTAGAGGCCGCTAAAATATTCTACCTTAGAGCCTAGCAACTAATTTAACATACGGGATACGCTTTCAAATAACTTAAATCCGCCAGTCTTCATCTGGAAATGGAGCCCGGTGTATTATATGGTGTCTGGATAAACCCGGATTTTTATTTTATAGAATAACGTGTTGTTGAAATTTACCTTTCGTTATCAAGTACAGCACGTGAGTCATACACTCTGTAGATCTCTAAAGGAACGGCAATAGATTATCAGGTCACCCAACGAAAAATTGACCCGAAATATGAAACTGGTTACGTGTCCAGATGAGCAGTTTTGACGTTCACGTTTAAACGACTCAATATTTTGACCTGGAATTTTGAGACATGGTAAATACACCACTCATACCTACACGGTGTTTATTTATGAGACTCTGTTAAAATCGAGATGGCCCCTTTAATGTTCTCACTTTCAGCTAGAAAACTTGAACTGGCATCACAAGCAGTAACTGGTCAAGACGAACCCCTGGATTATGAGAGTACAAATTTCTATAATATAACATGTTATATATCTGATGGATATTTATATAACGAAGGAGATTACATCAATCTTTATGTACTTGATGTCAACGAGGAACCGGTCTTTAAAGAAACATCTTATTCCTGTGTATTATATGAATCAGACGTAAGTACTATTATTCCTCCTTTTTGAATGAATCTGACGTAAGTACCAATATCCTTGTGCTAAGTTTGACGGATTAAATATAACATATAATATAACACATTGTTTTAAAGGTTTGTATTTAAATTTATTTAACATTTAGAGGTTATAACGTAAAATCAATGGTTACATATTTATGACATTTCATATTGATTTATCTTTAAGATTTGGGATTTTTGTTTTGTGAAATCATATTTGTATAATGTCCTATTATCGACTGTATGTTTTATGTTTGTTAGAGCAGAGATTTGGACAGAGATAACATAGCCGATTGCTGATTCCGAGAGACAAATGGGGTTTAACGTCCACTCGACACAAACTAAGGCCATTTCAGGACTAACACATGGTTCAATTTTATTTCAATAATTCGCTTGCGCGTAGGGGTCTTTAGCTGTGGGAGGAAACCGGAGGACCCGGAGAAAACCCACCAGGTTGGACAGGCGACCCCTACTCCTTGTCACGTACAACCGGTTAATCGAAACCCCGCCAGTTGACTCAATGACAGACCGTATGATACAGCGCGCGCGTGCTAACCATTCGGCTATCCAACCCCCAAAAACTAAATAAGAAATACACTATTTAATTATTTAACTTCAAATACGACTGGCGGCTTCTTTGCGGTTTCTATATACATCAAATTGCAGAGACCCCTAATCTCTCAATACGACTGACTCTTTTGGCAAGTTTCCTAGGAAACATTTATCTGCTATATCGCCCTCTAATTTAGCTTATCTTTTTAGATTGGGGTGTCCCAGTGTGATCTTCCTATGACGGTAACAGATCCTGATGATGATAATGTCAACCTGGCTCTATTATCAGGAAACAACAGTGAACGATTCTCTCTAGTTAATAATGATAAGAAGTTAACATTTAACATTAACTATGATGTAGACGAAGATGCTATGCCCACAGAAGCTGTTTTAACAGTTGCTGCTGTTGATGAACATGGACTAACAGGTAAACACTGCTATTTCAAAAGCGAAAAGAATCTGTTCTTGTAAGTACATTGAATAGGTTTAATATCAAAATTAGTAAATATTACGTGATTGTAATTGTTTTCCTTTGTATTATGACTGGAATAATGTTAAGGAAGAGGCCTTCTCAAGAGTCCCACCTTAACTCGCCCCAGACCACAGATTTATTTCTTAAATGTTGTTTTCTTTTTTTTTCTGTTTAAATTGTATGTGTTCTCTGGGAATATCTAACGGTGGTATACTCCCGTATCATCTGTTTTGTAACTCTGTAGTTCTGCATTGTCTATATTTTTATAGGAACATCCAAAATAACAGTAACAATTCTTGATAAAAATGATAATACACCGGAATTCCAATCTTCTATCCGGTCATATGTGATCTCAGAAACTCAAGCACTGGGAACTCTGGGAACTGCATTCACAGCCACTGATAAAGACTCGGGCAGCAATGGCGATATAACTTACACAGTAAAAAGTGGATCTACTGCATCAAGCTATGTTCGTATGGTCGGTGACGGGAATTTTGAGTATTCTGGAAAATATCCCGAAAGGTATGTGTGTATTAAAGAGTTATAGTCAATTAAGTCGCGTATTTGTACTGTCGCTGCATGAGTCGAGTGTGGTTAATAAACTCATTAAAAAGCTGTTTGTATGGATTGGTCCTGCCGATTTGAAGTCACTATGATGAAAACTCTGGTCAATGCCAACAGCAGATTTTTGTGTCTGTCTGTTCTTTCACGTATATTTCATGTATTTCAGTTTAGGAGGCACAACACAGACGATTCTAGTCGAAGCCAAAGATAATGGAAATCCTAGGTTATCCTCAACTGGAACAGTTATTGTCACCTTTCAACCCTACAGCACAACCACCACCACCACTACAACCACAACTCTTCCCACAATTGTTAATTTTTCAGGCTCCTCTGGATCATCCTCGGGTTCATCATCTTCTAACACTGCCTCTCAGAGCAGCAGTTCTGATAACTCGGCATTTATTGGTCTTCTTGCTGGTTTGTTGTCTTTACTACTCCTAGGTCTCATAGGCGCTTTAGCCTATTTTCTGTGCTGTAAGGGAGGGTCCGGAAACTGTTTTGGTGGTAGTGGAACAAAGGTGTAAGTATAAGTTATCTTTTATTAATGTACAATACATAGAATAGGTCGTAGACGTTTTGGCCAAATAATTCGATGAGTTGCTATGCAAATTGTTTCTCCATCTATACCGAGTCTTTAATTTGTCTTCAAACATCGTATCCGACAAATAGACTCGGAATTGGATTGAGATCGAAAGATATCTCATAAAAAATATCTATGAAAAACCCTTATTGCTCCTATCAATTAATATTTCTATCAAAACAAACTTGATTAATGTCATGTAAATTTGCTAAATACTGTTAAACAATATAACTGTTTTGTGAAACAGCTTTGACACATAAACAGCAAGAAAATATATTACTTCAAATCAGTAGTTTATAACAAAAGTGTACATTCAATAGTTTTCATAACAGTCCATTTAGATAGTTTGTTGAATAACTTGGTTCTCGATTATCCAAGACTTTTAATTGTAACACGTTTTAAACTTGTGTGCATGCCATTATGGCTACGAATAAAACAATATATACCTGACAATCAGTTGATTTATATTCATTTCAGACAGACGACGGAGAGGGTTCACAGAGTCCAACCGGATGAATAGTAAGTAAAATTTGAGTAAACTTTAACGAGTATCTCCCTCAATAATTGGGCAAATTAAATTTTCATTTGATATTTTGCAGCTACCGAGATAGAAGATATGTAACTGAATATGAGAGAGATTATGACCCTAGAGATGTAGACTACGATGATAGACGAAGAGGAAGAGATGATTACTACAAACGTAAGTATCATGCGCCGCGTGAACCCATATATAGAACAGTAATGTGTTCACTTTGTACAGATTGATATTTTTACATATTGGCATTAAAAAAGAAATGGGTAATGTTAGAGGAAAAAAATCTGTGTTATATATTTGTATAGTTTCATAATATAGTATTAATATTCTATATTTACATCATATTATATCTTTATTATATATTTGTATATTTTCATCATATAATACCTGTATTCTATATGAGTATTATATATCTGTATTATGTATTAGTATCATGTATCTGTATTATTTATTTGAATCGTGTATCTATATCTGCATTATGTATTTTCATTATAATATCAGTATTCTATATTTTACCATGTATCTATATTATATACCTATATTATATTTTTCTATAATATGTGCATCATATATATTTATATTATATATTTGTACCATACATCTGTATTATATATTAGTATCATATTATGTATTTGTGTTCTATATTACAGTCGTTCGGATGCGTCGAAAAACCGAGGTCCCGTGTACACATTGGCGTGCACGTAAAAGATCCCCTGGCAGTTGGAATTCGATATAAGAGTAGGCCGTAGTGCCGCTGTCCGGGCAAAATTTCCCTCATAGCACACTGTATGGCGTATGCCCGTCTTCATTAGCCCAGGTTAGGAGTAGAACAGTAGGACGTTAAACTCCATTTCATTTCATTTCATTTCTATATTACAGGAGAATGGTATGAAGATGTACGAGAAGGCTCCCCATATTCAGCCAGTCAGGTCAAGCTGCTGAAACAGAGTGATCTACCCCGGGTGGTTTAAAATAATTTTCATATTGAACCCAATGTCCACACAGCAATTGAAATAAACCAGCACAGCAGATTCTATGTTGCCACAGATGTTAAAATGTATCAATAATAAATGAATTCATTAAAAATTTGTTTTAAATATCGATGACTTTTCAAAATAAATTCTTATTCTACACTGTTCTGGTTGTATATTGTCGCCTCGGTATAACGGCTATAATATGAGGGCTGGATAAGTGATAATGCAAAGAGGGTTAACGTACTAAGGCATTAAGTCAATGCCAGCCAAAAGGTATGGTACTTGAAAAACAGTTATCAGATCATATATTATTGGTGTCCCATCTGCTCTAGTTACAGACTGAAGTTACAGCTCTAGGTCATATTGGAATTTGAGCGAATCTTCCCACTTCATGTTTATTTTACCCAGATTTCGTTTCGTCATTGTTTTTGTGAATTCTAAAATAGGAAGACATGCATTTGTTTCCTGTTTTGTGGACCAATGGAAAATGATGGGACAAAATACCGAGGTCCACCCTTGTACATATTGATTGCCCGTCGTATAAAATATCAGTAACAATCAAAAGACGAGTACACGGACATATTGGTGTTGTGTCCACGAAATGTATTTTTCCTAGCTAATGCCTGCGTGACCATATTAAAACCCTTTTAACGGTATGTTAGACTACATTATTTCCCCTTCCCACACAACAGATGTTACCCTTGGCCAGTGGGAAAAGAGGATCATAAACCCTAAAGTTTCTTTACGACGGTCTCTGGTCTTTGTTCACTGCCCAAAATCATAAACACGCGCCTGCAAGTTTAGTTAATTTCAATCAAAAGAAAAGTAATCTCTACTTTCAAAACCACTACTTCATGATTTACGAATACACTCCTGTGTTCCCCGGTCGTTACTCAACGAGGATTGTCTGTTAAATTAGCTTCCTTTGATACACTGGCCCTGTAGTATGGTTACATATACACGAATACTATCCCCACTTCCTTGCTACTGCTCATACCACCATATCTCAACTCTCAACCACAGGCTTAGACTAAACTAAGGGAAGTGGTTCCTATTTGGAACAGGGGAAGGATGTGTGACAATCTGGAGAGGTGCCTGGGCTACAAAGAGATGGAGCAGAAGGACACGCCCCCCCCCCCCCACCTACTCTACCACCAACACACTTTCCGGTCCTCCCTCGTGTTACACACGTATGGGTAGAAATAGAAGATACTATGTCTTTTACAATATGAGGTAAACCTGGGCGCTCTTACGACTGGTGTAAATCGGACGGCAACCAGTCGCCGTCCAGTCGCCTCCAGTTTCTCGGAGTAGCACATGTTCTACTCCTACGACTTGAGCCAACATAAGCTTGACTTTATTAAAGCCCACGGTCATATCACTCAGCCAAACACATCCCACCTTCACCCGCTACTGACAGACTATGTTTAGTGCTCAGCTATTCGGTCCATTGGCTATATATTCCCAGTATATTTAAAACAGGCTCTACATTTATCAACTTGGTTGATCAACTTGGTTGAAATCGGCTAGATAGTGGTCGACGCTTTTAACATGGTTGTTTCTGTTATTTTAAAAGACAATATTGGTGTCAGTCATTATCACATAATTATGTGATAGAACTGGTTAAACACGTTCCATATATACTCTTAAAAAAAAGTAGGGAATATTCAGAAACAATACAAAACTGCGGAAATACACTGCTGTTTTTATTAGAGGTAACCAGTGTATGTTAATAACAGGCCAATTGCCTACACATGAACATAAACAGTTCACATGTGCGGCTTATCTGACGGCCCCATTTCACTTGCAAAGAGATACACTGTCACTAGTGAAAATAGACGTTTTTGATTTTTGTCTTAATAATGAGTAATTGTTCCACCAATCCTCAGACATTCAGCAATTCGTTGTGGCATGCTCCTAATCAACCGTCCAATCACGATTTAGGGCAATCTGACCCACTCCTTTTGCAGTGCCACGGCCAATTCTTGCAGTGTTGCCGGTTGGCGTTGGCGTCGACGAACACGTTTCCCGATCAAATTAAACGTAACACACTAAAGCAAAGATATGCTAAACAGTAAATATTATGCAAGAACCGATAGGAAAACAAACATGGATAGGATAAACCAGTAAGCTGCAGTTTTCATCAACCCTTCCTTGAAGTGTCAAATTTGACAATGAACCTCTCCCACGTGTATGGCGCTATTGCGTGTCGCACATGCAGCTCTTTATTCTAGTCAAAAAATTGTACTATTTTACAATATTCCAATTAATTGATGATACAAATTTCATCTTAACACACCTAATTTAAAAAAATTTGAAAAATTCAACTAAATGATTTGAAAAGCCTGACGTAAAGCTTTTTAAATGTGGCTTGGATTTAAAAATATTTTTGAACCCTCTGGACAAGTAAAATAGGATTTAATGGATAATTTACACAACAGGTAGGACACTAACACATCTAGTACTTAGAATAAGGCTATTTTTTATTTTCTGGAGCTGTCAAGCCAGCAAGAGTGTTTTTGTCCCTTTAACCAGTTCTATCACATATGTGATGACTGGCACCAATATTGTTCTTTAACTATCCCCTGCGCCATGCTCAGTGCACCATTCGTGACACTAAATATTCTAGTGAACACATTGAAGCAGTGTGTAGGCTACCACCAAACAGACATCACGCATTTCGCATCACATGTATACGAACAAATACAAATTGACTTAATCTTTAGGGAAGATATGATTTTGCACTAAACGTATGTTATAGATAATACTGATGTTATAGATAATACATTGATGTGTGCATAGCTGTCGATTTAATTTAGAATTCTTTGTATGACATCGTCTAATATGATATATCCAAACCCTTGCCTATTAAAGAAATTACTTAGCCAGTTCTTGTATTTAATAAGAACGTGACGTTGATAATGCATTGTTCTGTTATTTAAACTAAATAATCATAAATCCATCCGTAACTATTTACATATGCTTTAAACTATATTTAAATATTTTCAACAAACAACAATACTTTTTTACGGTTTCTGTGCACACCTTTTAGTTATTAATCCCTGTGCACTTTTCTAAAGAGACATTTTGCGTAAGGGCGTAAAGGAAATAACTCACACATGTTGCTGAACATCACCATCCTTCATGCTTAATGCATACCATTTTACCGCGTTCACTTTTACCTAAAGCGCATTTAAAAGGACATTTCTGTGAATATATAGTCCAAATAGATGGAGTAAATTCTGTAAAACAGAATTCTTAATGAACTGGTGGTCTGTTACTGAATTTGTGTACTAATTTAAATAACTCAATCTAAAGAATATTTGGAAGCATAATTTTTGATGGTTTTACGTGAACAAAAGGTCAAAATTAGTAACAAAACTTGATGAAATTGTACTAATCGTAAATCTGATCTGTTTCATCGCTAAGATAATATCACTAATCCAATCAATGACCTACTTTGAATGATCTATTTTGCGCGAGTGGTTATTAAAACGCTTATAATAGAATAAATATTGAGTTCCTCTGTGAGAAGTCTCTTTAAATGGATTAAGGTATTACTTATGATTTTCTTCTTGTTATTATGTAACAGTTGTTGAAATGGTTGGGGATAGGATCTTTCTCTCACAATGAATGAAGGATGCTGTTTGAAATTATTTATAATTTTATCATATTCTTTGATGATTTTTGGAGCGGTATGTATTTTATTTTAAGAATTGATAAATTGATCGATTTAAATAATTTTAATTATTTATTCTTTATATTAAACGTATGTACTATATAACCCACTCCTTTCCATTTTATAACATCCTCGGTATCCCCGGTGTACTCATTCCGTTCTACTCCACTATACCCTGGGATAATCCATAGGGTTTCCACGATTTCAAATTATCTACCCTCGCCTTGATTGTAGCTGTAGTCTACGAAACAATCAACAAACAGTTTACAAACCTGTCGTTTCGCCTTGTTTTTATAAGGGTAGATAACCATATTGTTGTCCATTTACTGAATGATTTATGTAAGTAATGTATATATTTTTAATTTATTTATATTTAATTACATTATCAAAATCTGTGGTATGTTTGGCTGATTACAAATATGTATAACATCTATATGTTTGACTTTTGTTATTATTATTACTATTCGTTCTTTGTCTGAAATGTTTCATTCTGTTATGTTTATTATTATTGAACTTATACTTCGATATTTGATTCTCAAGGGGCGCCTTCTCAACCACGTGGGTTTACTCCGGGTACTCCGGTTTCCTCCCACAGGAAAGACCTGTGCGCGTGCGCTCAGAAAATAAAAAAAAGACAACTTGTCTGCGATATCACCTTCGGTGGAAGCGGACGTTAAACACTAAGAACAACAACATTCACAATAACTTGTGGACGTTAAACTTCCTCGAATAACGAACGATTCTCAATACAACTCTTGAACCAACATAAAAGGACGGTCTTCATTAATATAATATACTGAGCGCCATGGAAAACGCATCACTTTTTTTTTCCAAATATTTTATTACTAGGTGGTTTTGTATGTATAATATTATGCAATACTATTCACGTGCAGCATTGTGTGTGAGCCCTTTAAAAGCATGTTTTCAACTTAAATTACAGTACATGAACTGTGAAACGTCAACCTGTCGTAATTTGTTGTTGGACGTGTGAAGGAATCGAGCTAGAGATGCCGAGACTTACTGAAAATCAACGGAATGAAGCCATGGGAATGTCCAGGGCTGGCATGTCTACACGTGCTATTGTCAGACACTTCAATTATCATCAGTCCACTATTGTAAGGTTGGTGGAACGTGTTCGAGTTACTGGATCAACACGTGCCCGTCAACGTCCTGGTCCACAACGCGTTACAACCCAGGCTCAAGACCGCTACATCCGGGGCACTCATGTGCGTGACAGATTCCGCCCAGCGACTCGGAAGACAAGGACCAGTAAGTGCCAACACCGTAAGACGTCGTCTAAGAGAAGTAGGACTCCGTGCACGACGACCTTATGTTGGAGCTATCCTCAGGGATCATCGCCG